TATCATTACACGTCTGCTCTCTCATTTTATCAACTTAGACCAAGAAACTTATGTGTTAAGTTCAACATTGATATATTCTGTCGTAAATCCGTCATTTTTCCGTAGTTGGTTTGAAAGGATTAGTTTTGTTTTTACGAGTTGATCGCGGATTGATATCAGATAGAGAACCATTGAAAGCCAGCACTGGAGTACTGGACATCCAGCTGTTTCATCCTAGTTTGGGAATCATCGGAAGTACGCACCCACCACCAGGGTTCCAACCCAAGACCTTCCGGTTACAAGTCAAGCTAGCTCGTATACCATTCAGCCACTGGGACCCGCTTCTTCAATGGCCAGCCCATGAATTCTAACTTCTACCAATTTGTGGTTTAGCGTGACCCCAACCAATGTCGTCGGTGGGACATCCATCCTCATACGTGACATCTTGATGGACCTCACTGGTCAGTTTGACTGTACTTTGAGAACCATCAAGCGTGAACAGAAACAAATCGTAACTGACCTAATTGTATAGACTTAACTGTACAGAGTATTCAGGTAATGAGAACAAGTCAATCGATAAGGTTGTAAAGGTACGTCGGATGAGATGGCTATTATTACTCATACCAACCTACCATCTGCCTCATTCAGCACTATTAGTTGGCATAGCATTAACTTAGGAAGGAGTTAACGGACAGTCAAATCAAAACCTGTCATCATTCCGTGTAGTCTTTGACTGTTAGTTCTGTCCAGCCACGTAGGTAGGTGTACACTCCTTTCATTGAGCTCCTTGAATTCCTAAGAATCAGTGGCTTGGTATTGTTGGTGATATAACTCAAAGGTGTTCTCAATAACTCAGATGGATTCACTCTCTCAGATCTATGGAGTTCTCATGTTGTTGTTGTTTTTTATGTAACTTCTCTTTCTCACCTACATTTCTGCTTACTAGAGTTCTCCTTTTTTCTGTATATATTTGAGAGCAATTTGAACTGTAGCATATTCATGAAAACGTTCTGAGTTGTGACTTAGTCAGTCGTTCATTCGGTGTTATCAGTGAAGTAAGCAGTTGTTATGTACTAGTTTTCCCCGTCGCCAAATTGTTATGTACTCGTCGCTAAATTATTGTTATGGTCTGGTCGAGAAACTAATACTCCTGACGCGAGAAGGCGGAAATCAGAAGACCACTAGGTTTGCGATGATACTTCTATTGTCCAAACACAAGGAGACGAAAATAAAATGGTCTCACACCAAAGTGGTAAGTAAGTAAAGTAGTTCACACAAAATGTGTGAACGAAATATATATATATATATATATATACATAGCGAAATATAGCAGACATGTCAACAACCACAAATATAATATGGATATATGTCACCAAGCAACGGGCTGTCAACAAACACTCATATTATATATAATATAAGGAGAATATACATTGTTAAAGGAGACAAGTTCATACAAGTGAAATGGTCACAGGCTAAGCGAGCAAACAGAAAGAGAGACCAACATACACACACACACATAAATATATATATGTGGATACATATCAGCAGTACAACACTGTTATTCACATTTAATTGGTGGATGGTGACTAGCAGTGGAATCCAGTCCCGAACAACGCCCATTCCGTCCTATTTGGGACTCGTCAGCCAGCTGGATGTGCCTGCATTCCCCAGTGAGTGATGATGTTTCCCCCGGTGGTTCGAACCCAGTGGTGGAATGTGTCTACTCCTACAGGAGGTCAGTCGCGAGACCGAACAGTTCATTAGTAATGTCTTTGACTGTAACATTCACTGGGTGATGCATCTTCGAATCTCAGGAGGAATATGAGTTTCTTCAGGGTTGAAGATACGCCTTGCTGACTGATAGGTGGCAACTAGCAAGAAAGCTAGGTTGAAGGCTTCCTACCGATTGCCTCCAACCATTTAACATCAAAAATTCAAAGTGCACCTTGATGTCGAGGCACCTAGAATGATGGCCATATTGCAAAAGTGACTGGAAGAATTCATGTGTGCACTAAAGAAAGGACTAAATACATTAAACTAGTTACTAGCTAGAGTCCAGTCATACTATCATATCATTGGAATCCCTCCCAGTGGTACTTGCTTCAATCCCTGGTTGTGGCATGGGTAAGTACGACTGAAGACTCCAAACTAGAATGTAACAGCTGTTCATTACTACCTGTTGGCTTTCTATCGCTCTCTGTCTCTCTAAAGTGGAAGAATTCGCCTAAATTAAGGACGTAAGTAATTAAACCCATCCAGCTCAGAGAATATGTAGTAGAAAATGGATTGAGATGGATTGGGCATAAGCCAACGGCGGAGACCGTCAAATGACACTCCAATTCATGAAGGCCAATGCTCTAGTGGAACGCGAATATGAAACGCCCAGTGGGGCAGCGCGCTTCCAGGGTGACATAGAGTAGGTCATGCAAAGAGGAGGAGATCAGACGCTATAAGTAATCTTGGAACCAGCCAACCAGCTAAGTAGGTATGCAGAGAATAAGACGATGTGGAGATGTGCTCCGGTTGAAGCCGGATGATGTTCCCCACTCGGAATCCAAGGGAACAGTAAAAAAATAAGCCTAAAAACTGCAAGAACTTATGATATATGTGATATTACTACAACAGATAATCCTTTGACAGTGTGAAATATTCCCATATTAGGAATTAAAAGTCAATTATGAACGAAGAATATTCTTTCCAATAATTTCTCCCCTTCAGGTTCTTACAATTATAAAATATTATAATATTTGTTGTCGTTACAATAATGATAGCCAGTTATGCGGTGGATGCATTTTTCTTAAACGTAGAATAACAGATTAGCAGTTATAGGGTGTCAAAATAAATAGACGTATTTGAGTGTGACAAACATCGTGCTAGGCTGAAATCAATTACCAAAATATTGTAAAACGGGAGACAATGGTGGTGATTAATCATAATAGACTTGTAGAGAGTGTAGGGTAAGAAAATTGACGAATCAGTTCAAGGTTATCGAAGGTGTCAGGTGAGTGAGTGGCTAGTACAAAGTGGTCTGTCTTGAATAGGAGATAGTAAGACTGGAATGAGAGGGGTTCATAGTGAGATAATGAATATGTTAAATGAAACAGGTGGAGGCATATATTGAAAAAACAGATAATATCACTAATGATAATAAATCCGGATAGTATAAATGGAAAATTCGATAGTATTGAGGGAATGTTTCATTTACTTTTGATTTACAGTTTGACTCCACACTGTATTTTTTTGTACAAGTATGGAATTTTCAGTATGGATATCGGTAGCCCAAATTTTGCAAACCAACCATAGATATCGGGTGTGCGTCGGCAGGGGATCGAACCTCGGACCATGTGCATGGTCGGCGAGAGTCCTAACCACTGTGCCACCGACGCACATATTTGCATGAAGGGCATAAATTATGACGAATAATAATAATAGTAATTGTAATAATAAGCAAAGGAAAAAACCAAGAGGGTTTAGGAGAAGGAGCACTCTTGTTGAGAGGAAGAATCATCAATCCAAGTTTGGCCACAGTAGGAACAGCGTCTTGACGTGTATCCGCCGCCACAAACTGGCCTTTATTGTAACGACAACAAATATTATATTTTATAATAATTGTAAGAACCTGAAGAGAAATTATTGAAAAGAATATTCTTCGTTCAGATAATCCTTTCTCATTCAAACGAAATATATGAAGAGTGATCATGAATACATTTCTTTCTAAAACTAGTAATAGTTTTATTCTGAACAATGTTCAGGAATTTCAGTGGAGTTTATTGCATAATATTTTCTTTTCGTCTAGGATCTTCAAATAAAAGAAAGACTAATTGACAGTAGATCGTGTGACACAGTTCTTTCTACCTGTCCTAAAGTGCAGATGATGTCCAATCCATCCATCATGACATCTCTCTTTTTTGTCTCCTTTGAGAAATACACGACGACATTTTTGGTTGAAGAATGCCAGCTATAGAAAGTCCAGGAGTACATTTTGCTGATGAACAATGGGCACCAATCAAGAATGGTCATCTCATATACTGGGATAAACTGCCATCCATCGAGGAGAATCTTTTTTTTCTAAACTTTAATAGAAACTTGCGAATCAACAGGTTGTAAATGTTTTAAATACTCATCAGAGTAAACAATATGATTAGAATTTAATTGACGGATGATGACTAGCAATGGAATCCAGGACAACGCGCATTTCGTCCTGCTTGGTGAGACTCGTCAGCCAGCTGGATGTATCTACATTCCCCCAGTGAGTGATGATGTTCCCATTGAGGTTTGAACCCAGTGCCCATAGTTTCAAACGCCAGCCAGCCAAAGCGTTATCCACTAGACCATCAATTAAATTCTAATTGAATGCTCAGACATCATCGAAGCATCTGCACAAGAATCCAACAGACATGTCAACCTGAGACCGATCACTTCGGTTCAATCAATCGACATGAAAATCTAAAATTCAATTCAATTAGAAGCCATTCTTTAATAGATTTAAATCAAGTGAACAAGAGGCATTCTATGTAATATACAGTAAGATGGAAGTTTTTCTCAATAGACTAAATTTTAATCAGGCCGCTGAACACACACAAACAATTCAATATACCACATGAGACCACCTTATATTGTTCTTTTCGTTTTCATCAGTCAGACAGCATAAAAATCTATACATTCACACACACACACACACTTACACATAAATATTTGATGACAAAAACTACTGACACCATTTCTTTCTAACATCATCAATCGTCAGCACCATTATCGTCATGAGACTTTCACTCATTCATTCATACATACAGACATATTAATATATACAGAAAGCACCCGAAAAAAAAATCAATACGTTAGTTAAACCATCGTCATCCAATCAAAATTGAGGATGTCAAATTACAATAACAATGCATATTTTTTCGTTGATTAGATTTTTTATCTAATAATAATAATAATAATATTTAGTTACTAACTTAGATTCATTCTGAGCACAAGACGTATTGAATTTCACATTTGTATTGTTATTAATTGACAACATGACATATGTAAGCTAAATATTATTAATAATGATGATGTATAATATATGATTCTTTTTGAATTTTCATTCATTTTATGCCTTTATTGCTTTCGATTTTTTGAGTTGATTTTTAATGGTTGCTGTATATTTAATATTGGTATTGATTTATTGATCGATTGTTTGTGTGTATAGTGTGGTTTTCGTTTATTTGCTTGTTTGTTTGGAATTATAGTATATTTATTTCAGTGTATACACACATGGTAATTTATTTTCACTATTTATTAATTATTAGTATGATTGTTGTTTCTCTCAGGTTCCGAGGGCAGCATACGGCTTCAACAACACATCTCCACTTTGTTTTATTCTCTGAAGGTCCTCTTCGGCTGGCTGGCTGGCTTGCTGACTGCACGAACTACTCTATGTCACCCTCAGAGAGACTCTCCACTCGTCGTTTCCCATTCGGGTTCTACTCGAGTGATCATCTAGCGTGCAGTGTCATCCAGCAGTCTCCTCAGAGTTTCATCGATCTGTCTCCATTTTCTTCCACAAATTTGTCAAGCAACAGGTTCTTAGTTGGTTTGCCTCACTACAGAGTTTCTTGCTGCGAATTCTTTCTGACCAGCCGTTTGATCTTTTGTATAGAGCCAGCGAAAGTCTGCTGTGACCTGTTGGAAATCCTTTTCGAGACCCACGCACAGTGCAAGTTTCTCACTCATAAACAAGAACCAACTGATTAACATTTGTGTTGAACAGAATCTTAATCTTGTTCTTTATGCTCAGGTGGAGTGCAAAAGATTTCCAAACTGATTTCAGGCTGATTAGCGCGTGTCTTACCTTCCCGATTTTGACTGCCTTTGACGTCTTCATCCGTTCCAACTGCTTGTGGTTGAAATGATGCTCCCCAAAATAGGTGAAGGATGTAACCTCTGTTAAATTTTTCCCTTTGATTGTCATTAGTGCTGGTTGTTGTTGTTGGTGGTGGTGGTGGTTGGTGGTTGGTTCTCTTCATCACCTCCGTCTTTTCTATGTTCACCTGGAATCCTTCCTGTCTTTGCTGCCTGCCAGCCTCTTCAGCCAGTTTGTTGGTTTTCTCACAGGAACAAATTAATTGAGAAATAAACATTTAGGGATTCTCCTGTTGTAGAATGTGGTTTTCGTTGAAGGCTGTTTAAAATTTCTTTTTCCAGACACTTGAAAAGACGATTTTTTTAAAAAGAATTTCTCTATTAAGAGAATTTTTCTAAGAACAGTTGTCGCAGCTATCCACAGATGATATCGTCTTTTCTATCTAATAAGATCAGATGTGAAGATTTCACTTCAGTTTCCATGATATCTTCCAAACAGATTTTTTCAAATCTTTAAGCATAAAGAATATACGAGATATTGTCATCTGACCATTATTACATAACTTTGGAAGCTAATAAATTGTGGTGGAGATGATTCGTAGCACAATAAGTTGTCCAAACCTTTAAATCAAGTCAATATACCGAATTAGCGTTTGTCTATTTTGTACATTCAGATTGATTACGTCGTTTGTCGAACTTACTACTCAATTTTTTTTTCCTTCACGTTCCCCAGTGGAACATAGGGCTTCAAGCTAGTGGCTTGAAATTTCTGTACCAGTGGTATTTAATTTTACAGGATGGGGTTGCTAACCTCATGCCCAACCTTACCTCTTTACCAGCAATATTTATGGCTCAGCGAGGTAAAGGAGTCCATTGGCTTGGAATCGAACCCTGGACCATGTGCATGGTCGGCGAGCGTCCTAACCACTGTGCCACAGACGCACACTATTACTAGGATGCTAAGAACCAACTGACTGGAAACTATTTGGTATTATATATATGTATATAAGAGGAGTTAAATGATGGGTTAAGTTACATAATAACATAAATAATTTATTGAATGAGTTGTAATCGCGATGTATATAGAAACGGAGAAAAATGTTATGTAACTTAAGAGTTCGAAAGTAATATAGAAAAAGTTGTAAAGAGTTGATAAAAGTGAATTAACAAAAACTAGGTTGTTAGGAAAAATGAGGTTGTTACCATGATAGTAGAAGTGGTTGGATAATTTTCTTTTGTGTTCAGAGCTCCAGTTTTTTTTTTATCTAAATGTCTGAGAGATCCAGCGATGCAGAAGAGACTAAAACGTATTGCCTATGGAATGTTGTTCTTTACTCGGTAAATTACTTTGAAGAAGGAGTTTGTTAAAACAGAATGACCAGAGATGATAAGGCGTTCAATTATTGCACTCCTTATAAAAACCACAGCTAACTAGCGTCGGTGGCATAGCGGTTAGGACGCTCGCCGACCGTGCACATGGACCGGGGTTCGAACCCCGGCCACCGACGCACTCCTTTACCTCGCTAAACCAGAAATAAAGCTGGTAAAGAGGAAAGGTTGGGCATGAGGCTAGCAACCCCGTCCTATAAAAGTACCACTGCTACAGAAACTTCAAGCCACTAGCTTGGAGCCCTATGTTCCACTGGGAACGTGAAGGAAAAATTATTATTATTATTAACTAGCAATCTTAACAAACTCCCTCTTCAAAATAATTTGCCAAGTAAAGAGCAACCTGCCAAAAGAAGACTATTCTACCAATTCTAATATCATAGTAAAAGCCTCGGTTCTGTCATTATTTTTCGCTTTTTTTATCCCTTTACGTTCCGAGTGCAGCATAGGGCTCCATGCTAGAGCTCCAAAGTTTCGATAGCAGCGGGATTACTAACCTTACCTCTTTACCGGCTAAACAGCAAGGTTCTTAATCCCCTATATGCACATTCTCTTCTAGCTTATACTTCGCTTAATTATAAGCCAATATTTAATTGGTTTTTATTAAATTTGTAAGATAAACATCTAAATACATCTGTAGAGCAACTTCTGAAAACGATTCACTGAGAAAGAACACTTTCTTCAAGTTAAACCACGAATTGATATCATTTAGAGAACCATTGAAAAACAGGGAGTACTGGATAGCTGTTTCATCCTAGATTGAGACTCATTGTCAGTAGACACCCACCGGGTTCGAACCCAGGACGTACTGATTAGTTCCTAGAAGTATTGGAATCCAGGACAACGTGCATTTCGTCCCATTTGTGTCTCTTCATCATCTGGATGTACCCGTATTCCTAGTGAGTGACAATGTTCGCACTCAGATGCGAAGCCATTGACCATTGTTTACCATGAGAGCCACCCCTTGTGCCACGGATATCAGTTACTATTTCTTTTTAATTCAGTCTTGACTTTCACCACTGGATTCCATTGCTAATGTCACCATCTATCGAAATTACTTCAGGTTAAATCTTCAGGCATTGCCGAAGCGTCTGTTCTAGGCAGCAACCGAAATGTCAACTAAGATCAAACATTTCGGTATAATCAATCAGCGGGAAAATCAATACTGAACTAAAGAGAAGTAGTAATATTTTCTTCACTCTAACGTCATCTGTCTGTTTCTAACTCAATATGGTGGAATTTCCTGTTCATTAAGGAAGTCCAACAGTTCTAAATTTGGTTACAGGATTTCATTATGAGCTGACATAGGTTAGAGAACCATTGGAAAACCACTGGGGAGTACTGGACAACCAGTTGTTTCATCAGCCTACTTTTGGACTATTCAGCACTAATCACTCACATCAGGGATTAGAACCCTGAACCTTCTTCTTACAAGGGAAGCTTGTAGACCATTTAGCCATTGGAACTCAACTCCTCAATTGACAGCCCATGAATTCTAACTTCTACGAATTCTTGATTTTAGAGCGACTGGGGAGTGAAGTTTGCTGTCTGCATTAGGGTAAGGCTGTTTTCTTTCTATTATCTGCATTATTCTAGTAAATAGTTGTCAACCCATTCTAATTCAATCCAGGGATTTAGGAGAAGACTGAAAAACAGGATGACTGTGATAAATCCATCACAAAAAGAAACTCATCTTCAGTTAACTAGGGAATGATTCTTCTCATTATAATTGGTAGGTATTTTTAAATAATTTTAGGGGGAAAATATCCCGTGTGTAATGCGTTTTTTATCATCATAATTCTCTATATATTTCCCTTGTGAATAAACATCATTTTTATCGAAAAACCACTAGTGTTTTCCTGATTGGTTGCTTCAAGGTCATTCGTGCATTCTCACTCCCATTGGTCGGCCATAGTTTCATTTTGCCCTTATTATTACACACATACACACACACACACGTACATAGGGAAAACTTCTATTAGTCTGTCTAATACAGTATAACTTTTTAGAAAAGAACATATTTTAATTAAATCTGATGAAACTGTCAATCTTTTCTTCCAATCCATCATCTAATTACGGTGCATATTTTATGTTTTGGTGTTTTTTTCATGTCGGAAATTGTATTTTTGATAATGTTTACAGTTAAATTGTCTTTAATCATAACATAAGTTAATTGTCGGATAGTGACTAGCAGTGGAATCCAGGACGATGTGCATTTCGTCCTATTTGGTGGGACTCATCAGCTACTGGATGTACCTGCATTCCTCAGTGAGCGATGATGTTCCCACCGAGGATTGAAGGCATTGCTAGTCACCATCCACCCAATTAACTTCGAATAACATGCCCAGACATCGCTGAAGCATCTCCACGAGAAGCCACCGACATGTCAACCTGAGACTGAGGACCACTTTGGTCCAATCAATTTACAGGAAAATCTAAAATTGAATTCAATAATTTAATCATAAAAGCCTGAATTTTGAGTGAACAACTGTGGTTCCGATGAATTCTTCTTCAGGCTCTACAGTTATGAATCCATGATTCCATAATAATTCGGATTGTTTTGTGTGCATTTCGGATTGTGAGGGCGATTGTTACTTCCCGGCTGCCCACACCGTGGAAGTTGGTTGCGTGACCGCAGAGCCCAGGGGACAACTGCTTGAGGCCGGTCACACGCGGCCTGTTTTTGTTTGTTCTCTTTTGTTTGGTGTGCCTCAGTAGCATACTTATCACTCCTGCCCTGTGACACGGCAGCAGGAAGCGCGGTCGTTGTTAATCCGGGCCACGGCCGATCCGG